AAGCAGGAAACTTGTTCTGAACATAGCACCCACTGTAATACCCATTCAGGATGGTTTCATCATGCCTCATGCCCGTGTTTCTGAGCAGCTTGCTCAGGTGATTCTCTTTGCTTAGCAGTTTAAAGGGCTGCTGAGTTTAGTGCAGAATCCAGGGTTTTGCAAAGACATCATTTGAATCCATCATTGCGGGATTAATATTATTACTAGTAGTATTTTTTTTAAACAGTCCCTTTCCCCAATTTTTTCTGTGCTGCCAGCATTTCTTGGGAGGCTTGCGATTCTGTTCTGTTTTCCTGAAAGCCCCACTTCCTGGACCCTTATGCTAGGTGAGAAACTTGGCGTAAGGGTTTTTTTTCTCTCTTTTTTTTTAAATAAAAGTACCTGTCCCTCCTGATTACAAAGATGCCAGTGATAATGTCACCTGAGCACATCCTAAACACTGTCCCTCTGCCATCTGCTTTCTCAAAATGGCAGAGATTTACTTGGCAACATTACACGGGTACAAAAGTGTATGCCTCTTAAGCATTTTTCCTTACCTCTCTTCAGTCCCAAGCCTGCCAGTACAAAGATTGCCTGATAATTTCCCCTCCACCCCATCCCATTTTTAGCATGGTTTCCCAATATGGGGCAATAAAACAATGACTCTCTACAAATCTCTTCTGCCAGCACAACTTGTTTTTCCCTCTCTGCACCGGAAGAGCCATGAAGGTTTGCAAATTAGAGGCAAAACATAACAGGAAAGGGAAGATTAGACATCAGATGGAATATTTGCGAGGTCTCCATCACCGAGTCATGCACGTAGATGCTCCTCGTTGCTATTTTCAGCCCACTGGGAGACTTGGAGACCATTATGCAATGATGGCATTTGTGTTGGGATGCTGTCTTTTAACTTTTCCTACCCAGCTAGGCTCTTTAAAAAGCAACCACACGGACTTGGCAAGCCCTTTTCCATTTCAGACAGGTTAGATGACCTTGAGACGAGCTTTTATCTCCCCAGTCTCTCAATGATGCCTGTCTAGTTTTGAGCTGGCTCTGGAATTATGGATTTATTTTTGGCCCAGTTCTGCTAAGACTCATATTGCACATGGCAGTAAATAAATGCACTTGTAAATTTAAAAATAAGTTCCTGAGAGAAGAGCCAGCAAGCAAAGCATAGCAAAATAACTCCCGAGCATAGCAGAGGTGCCTCTGGCATACAGATGGCTTCTGTGAATATTCTCTGTCTACCTAGCCGGCTTTGCAGAGAACAGGCAGGCGATACTGAAATGAAAGACAAGTGCTTAAATGCATCAAATCTTTGCAGTCAGATAATAGTCCCCTAGTTGTAATCAGAGAGGTGTCGTAGCAGCCAATATGCTGAAACCATGTAGTGTTTGTTTTGTACATGTACCTCAATTATACGACCTGTACAAAATTAGCCCCTTTCCAAAAGTGAGAAATAGCATGAAAAAAAAAAGTATTTAAACTGAGGTTTTCAAAGTCAAGGGTGTTTATGTGCCCAAATTCAACTGTAATTCACTGCGGCTTTGATGCCTGATGGCTCCTTTTGCCTTTGAAAGAGAGCTCCCTGTTAATTAGCCTATTTGTGTAAGATAATTAAGAGGTACCAATTTCATGTAACGTAACAGTTACAGAGCCAGATTGTTGAGTGATATAAATCAGCACAGCTCCGTCAACTTGAGGATTTGTGATGGGGACATTTTTTCACGTCTAAATGCTCCATACAGAACAACACAGCACTAGAGATGCATTTAATGAGGAATATACTCTGATAACTAAACATAGAGAACTTGATGTGTAGTTTCATAGGAAATAGTGTCTGTTTGGGTAAAAAGATGAGAAAAATATCTGCCTGCCCTGCAAAATGCAAATGGGAATTGGAGAGGCACGCTGGATTTTGTCTTGCTTTTCAAGTGACCACCGGTCACGTGGATTTGGCATATGAAACTGAAAGAATAACCCTGTGAGTGATGCCTGAACGAGTTCAGTCCAGTCCCCCTCTCCCTGGTGTCCTGGTGCTTTGGGGCTGGCAGGGTTAAAAAACGAAGTTAAGCTCGGGTTTTCAGAAGTGCTGAACACCCTCCACTCCATCTGAGCTGAACAGAAGCTCAGGATTGCTGGAATTCAGACCACGGAAAACTCATTTTAGTCCATAAAGTCAGCAGCTGTGACTCTGAATACACCCAGGTGGGAGAACAGTTGATTTTTCCATTTTCTGACTCTAATCTCATTCTAAATGGAAGGAAGGGAGCTTGCATATTTATCTTTTCTTGGCAAATATGCTTCGGAGAACAGAATCTCCTTGTTTCCAAGCTGCAAAAACGCATCTTCTCCCCAAAGACTCATGGAATTGAGGATGTTTGCACCTAGAGATTGTTGGACAGGAAAACCGGGTCTTTACTTCATCGGGGTTCTTTATGTTGATGACTCTATAGGTCCGTAAAGCCTAGAGACTTGGAACCAGTAAGACACCGACATGGGTGTAAGGTAAGATACCTACATAAGGACTCGGAACAATTTCAATTGGAAGACACTGCTCTGAGCAGCTCAGGCGACCGAGATCTAATACCAAAAGGGTAGCGCTCTGCACTGCTCAAAAATATTCAGAGGGGCCCAGATGGAGTTGACAGAAAGTTTCAGTAGTGCTAGCCTTAGCCATGAGACCACTGTTACCAACCTTTCCCTGAAAGGTCATAGCTGCCTCATATGAAAGCCATGCCCATTAGTAATCTGTCATCTGATACTCCAAGGCAGCGGTCCCTGCCACAAAGGCTTTGCTAGGGGTAAATATGTAAAAGGTTGCATGGTCCTTGAGCCATATAATTCCCAGTTAAGTAAGCAGAAGCTGCAAAGGTAAAATACATGGCAGTCTTGAATATTTTGTTCAGACCTAGGTGTTACCCTCATAAATAAGGGAAGGGAAGCCAGTGTCCAGCAGCAATTTCTCCTGGGCTAGCCAGTGTCCAGCAGCAATTTCTCCTGGGCTAGCCAATGGCAGTATCATGAATTGAAAGGAGAGTTTAATGAGCTGGGCTTTAACCATGAAAGGATCCATCCAGTGCATTTGAAGCACATCCATGGCAGTAGACAGGCATTGCATTACAAGCCAATTACCCTATTCATGCCAGCGCACATGTTTTTGGTGAGTTGGTCCTCTGCGTTTGCTTTAGTTTTGTCCCAGTGTCAGCAATACTGGGGTGACTCCAAAGCCACAGAGAGATTTCAGGTTGCTTCCTGCAAAAAAGAAAATTGCTCTGGAATCTGGAACACCCTGTCACCCGGCTATCGTTTCACCGAGTCCATCTGGTACAGGGCAAACTGTTCTAAAGTAGGTTACGCTGCAGAGATACTGTTTTGGCTGCCCTGCTTTCTGAGATCAGCTTATGAGATACTTCAGTAATAAGACAAGGGGCCTGGGGAGCCTGTCCTCCTTTGGTTGTTTGCAGTGGTCCTTTTTTTGTTTGCAGCTATAAAAATACTATTTGTCACTTAGTATTGAAGGTTGATTTTTGGTAGGGTTACCCCACAGATGAATTTGGCCCTTTAACACGCCATCCCGTAAAGAAGCAAAGGGGGAAACTGCAGAAAGGAAATGGATGCTTTCAGGCAAAGGTACTAGAACATGCGGTGATAGGTGTCCATTGCAATGCCGCTACTTGTGTAGTCACTTGTTGAGGTATTTACAACTGCAGACCTGGCTGTGGCAACATGGCCAAAAAGACAGAGCACTGGGCTGGGACTCAGGAGATGTGCTTCTATACCTAGTCCTGCGGTCGGTGTGCTGGATGACTTCAGCCAAGATGTGACTCTGTTTCCCCATGTGTAGCATGGGGATAATGGTAGTGACTGAGTTCTGTGAGTGGAGAGAGCTTATGTAAGAGCTAGGGTTATTCTTGTATGCCTACCTGATGGCTGGGAAAAGCTGACGCACAGATGTTAGGAGCATGATTTAAGATGGCTTGGTTTGCAGAGGTGCTGAGCACTACAGCTCCTGCAGACTTCAGGCCCAAGGCATAGTGCTTGGGCTTCCCAGCTATAGAGGCTGCAGCTAAGGCATTGACCTTTCAAGGCTATTATGCACCAGAGTCCCTTTGAGCATGGAGCTGGACTAGATGTGCCTTCCTGAGGTCTCTTCTAACCTATTATATGATTCTGAGTAACATGGGAATGGGAGCTGGGACTAGAACGGCAGTCTCCTGGTGCAGGGCTCAGCCAGCTGGCTAAAATGGGAGACCCTACTAGGTGTGATTGTATCTCTCTAGTGCCTTGAGACCATGAGACTAACAGGCGATGCTCTCTGCTCAGTGGGGATGAGGTAGGGCTTTGAAGTGGGATGCCTTGTTTCTGTCTGCATTTATGACTGAAGTCCTGTGTGGCTGTGGAGTCATCATTAGGCAATTCCTTCCTCCTGTCATCACCGAAACTCCTTGCGACAGTGCTGGATTGCTTGGGGGCAGGGGTGCTGATGAGCCCTCACCTGCTCTGATATGACGCACGTGTTTGCACGCTGTGATTTTTGTGTCAAGGATTTGCTCCCTCTCCTGTTTTGCTCCCAGAAAACATCTCAACCTTTGTCCCATGGCTGAAAGCAAGACCCGAATCCCTCTCTGTACGTCAGCCAAATGCTCCAGAATCCTGTGTCGGGGGCTTTGCTGGTTCAGCTGTTGCATAGCTTGGAAAGAATGACTGCCTGGAGAGGAGCTGGAGAATGGGGGAACATGATGTACGGGACGGGTGGGCTGCATGTGAAGCAGCATGGTGGGGGTGGGGTAAGCAGAGGAGAAGGGGATATCTAAAAGGCTGGTGCCTGCTTTCCACACTTACAGGGGCTGAGAGATCTGATTAGGAGGCCCTATAGCTCAACCCTCCATACTGGAAAAAGGACTACTAAATATTGCTGTTGTAAGCAGAGTTGGGTGGCATCTAATAAATACAAGCGGTGATTGGTCTGTGGTTTGTCCCACTCACATGATTTCCCTTCCCTTGGCTTCTTTTTGAAGGTATCATTTCTGTGTGTCTCCGAAAGGACAACATGGGCAACCTGAGCCTGATAGCCAGCCCCAGCCTGCAAACTGAGACTTGCCACTCCTTGGATAATGCCGTCAAGGAGACTTCAGTCACAATATGGCACAAGTGGACAAGTAGCAGCAGTGGCAGTGACCACGTGCTTGTCAAGTGGGGTCACAACCAGCTTGCCAAGACCATCAAAGACAGGTGACTGCCAGATGTAATGAAAGCAGCATTAGTTTTGCTCATGTCCAAGCCGAATTCCGGCTGAACTCATTTATAATCACAGGCCTGTGCGTGGGAAGCCCAGATGGGACTAGGGTTTACAGTAGGCATAACACAGTGGGAGACCCTACTAGGTGTGATTTTATTACTCTAGTGCCTTGAGACCGTGAGATATCATGCTGATATCCTAACATTGAGTTTTGTACTGGCTTCACTGCAGTGCAATTCCATTGGCTTCAATGGTATTACTCCTGATTTAGCAACACCTGCCTACCGGCTTCCAGCATTTTACACTCTGAATTGCCTACAAATACAATGACCCAAATTTGACACTCGCACACATGATGGGAGACTCTGGGGCAACTCCACCACCCTCGAAGGCATCATTCTATGTTTATAGCCCTGCAGAAAACAGACCTTTGGCTATTTTCTGTAGTAGCTGCTTGTCTGATCTGCCTGGGTGTGGGCAGAATTGCAGCCCCTGAACTCTGGAGAAAGCAGGGAGTGCATTATACCTACCCCCAAGGTGCTGTGCACTGCAGAAGGGGACAGAGGTTGTGGCTGCATGTCCACTTGCCCTCCAAGAGCCAATCAGCAAAGTTCAGTAGTCACAAAAGCCACACAAAGGATAGTGAGCTGAAGCCTGCTAAGGACCGTAAGTAGCAGACGCACAGCCATTGCACTCAGTGCTGCCAGGCAATCTCTTGCTTGGGTGATTTTGGGTGCACCCCCTTCCAACCATCAGTGCTATGAGTCTGGGCACCCTTTCATAGAAGCCAGAGTCGCTCTCAAATTGCGGTGAAAAATACTGGTGTGGAGCAACAGCCTAATTCATTCCAATACGTAGTTTTTTCAGTCAGTAGCAAAGGGTCTCAGCAGGTTAGACACAATGAATATTTTTCCTCTGGGAGCCCCTGAAAATTTCCCTTATCCAATTTCTGCCACTACAAAAGGAGAAAAAAAATTGCTGCCTTTCTGCAGCTTTCAATCCAAATTTGCCTCTTTTGTGCACTTTGTCTAGCTGCCCAGGGAAGATGCTATTGAGGACAGATCTTCAGTATCATACAGGCGTTGCTTCACTCATGGAAGATGCAAATGGAAACCAGCCAGAAAGAAACAGCTATAACCCCTGGGGACTTCACTGCCACCAACAGCACCTGAACCGCATGTCCTCCAAATATAATGAGAATAAACTTCATCGTATCCTTTTTATTTCCAGCTGTTCCTGTTGCACTTTACTTGTTTTGCATTGAGGAGGGCTCGCCAGGGTAAGGTTGTCACTAGCACCGTGGCTGCTAATAATAGGTAATAATCAACATACATTTTGTGGGTAGGTTTATTCTGTGCCCCAAAGCCCCTGGGAACCGACCAAATATAACTGCATGCTATATCCTCTCCATTTCTGTTTAAAAGAGGCTCTACATCAAAGGATATCCGTCCAAAGCCAACGGTGCTTTGGACCATATATTTAAAAACACAATCATGTAGGAATTACAAAACATAAAGGGTTCAAAAAAGCAGCAGTAGCTTTGCTTCTTCCTTCTGCAACTTCATTTGATCACTAGTCATGGACTAATGCAGCTTAATGCCCCTTGCTCCCCTGCTGCACTCAAGTGAATTCAGTGCTGATGAAAGGCCCTGGATTGACAGCCCTAGGCTGCCTCTGCCCTAGAGAGGAGTCACTGGCAAATGAAACTGGTGCAACTGTACTAAATTGGCTGAAATTAGCAGCGGGGGCAATCGCTATGCTGAGGGTAGACAAAGGCGCATCACACGTTCTCATCACACTTGAGAACTGTTTAAAGGGCCACCTCTGATCTAAGTCTTCCTTCAATTAGGTGTTCCTTTTTCCCTTAACGTGTGCTATTCAGAGTTTCTCTTGCTTGAAAATGTGGTGTCAACGTATAAATACCCTTGCATTCTGGACTTAAAAATGGGCACCAGGCAGCATGGGGATGACGCCTCAGAGGAGAAGAAAGCCCGCCACATAAAGAAGTGTGAGCAGAGCACTTCTGGGTCGCTGGGAGTTCGCATTTGTGGGATGCAGGTAAGGAGGGCTCTTGGCCCATTGATCCCTTTGGTATTTCCGCTCCTCCAAACATGCATTTTGAGTAACTGCCTCTACAGGCCCAGTCCTCAGCTGGTGCAAACGGGGGGGCCTCATTCTTCATGTCAGCTGAGTGTTGGTAGTTTACACCAGCTGAAAATCTGGCTGCATTCTGCAGCTTGGAGCTGTCCAGAAGGGGAAAAGGACATGAATTGTCCAAGCTCGGTTCATTTGCAAGAGCTGTCTAGTTTAATCAATGCAAACCCATGCATTTCTCTTGGGATAAATAAACATTTATCTGGCTCCTCTTGATGGAAATGATTACTACTTCCTCCTGGAAACTGAAACCATCAATCTGCTTCACTTGTGCCTCCGAGAAGGTTTAGAACATCGCTCTCCTGTGCGTGAAGCATAATTATTATGGTTCTTATTATACGACTCATGTATTGCATGTTGTAAACAGCGTCAACCGGGTCCCTCTCCATCCTGATACTGAACGGATTATCCTATGAATTGCATCAGGGACGTAACCTACTTGTGCATCCCCCTTCTCTAGTTCCTATGGAGAATAGTGCTACCAGATGCTGAACATGTAAATCGTTCTAAGCTTCCTTGCTATTCTTTATTTCTGTGGCTGAGGAAATAGCATGCTGTGCAGCACCAAGAGAGTGAAGGCACAGCACTGGGGCAGCTAACGTAGCTCTATGGAAAGTCACTATTTTGACCTGGGCAGACAAGGTTCTTTGGGTGAATCTGATATCTTTTATTAGACCAACTTAAATAGTTGGAGAACAATTTTTAAGCAAGCTTTCGGGTTGACCTGTGCATGTAAAACCAGTTTTCAGCTGAGATAGGCCTCCATTTGCCCTCGTACAATCTTAATGCCTACTACAGTAGGGCTGTATGAACCTGTGCAACTGTACTGGGGTGGGGACTGGCTACCAATGGTTTAAACTGGCAATGTAGACAAGGTTTCATCTGCAGTTAGGAGCCTGCTGCCTAAATTGTCATATACAACTTAGATCAGAGAGACGCCAGGTGCACCAGCTTGAAGCAGTCGAGTTAGATCAACTCTAAGCCGTAGGATATTTTCCCCTTGGAATGCTTCAAAAATGAAATAATTTGAGATGCCCATCACTTTTTTTCCTTTTTATTCAAGGTTTACCAAGCTCACACGGGCCAATTTTTTTGCAAAGATAAGTATTATGGAAGGAAACTCTCCCCTGAAGGCTTCAGGCAAGCCCTCCACCAGTTCCTTCACAATGGGAACCACCTCAGAACAGACCTGCTGGAGCCCATCGTGTTGCAGCTGAAGGCTTTGCTTCTGGTCATTAAAAAGCAGACTTCCTATCGCTTCTACTCCAGCTCGCTTCTCATCATCTACGACGGGCAAGAACATAAGGAGAACGGAGCCACTTTGGACAACTATCCTCAAGGGAGCTTCCAGAACATAAACTGCACCGCGTCCCATGGGAGCAGCCACGCCAAAGTTGACATTCGCATGATAGACTTTGCTCACACCACGTACAAAGGCTCAAAGTGCAATCACACCACCTATGACGGGCCGGACCATGGCTATATTTTCGGTCTGGAAAATCTCATCAAAATTCTGCAGAATATTTCAGAGGGAAAATGACACATGCTGTGAGACACCAAAGACATTGCGGTGGCAGACAGCGCAGAACAGGACTTGCCTATGCATTGTGTCCATTCTACAGAACTCCTCACCGCTTCCGAACATCTCGCGCGCTGCTGGGAATGAGAGCATGGACAGCTTGCTAGGAAAGTGAAGAAAATGCTAGATGTGCCGTTACTGAAGCCAGGTGTAAAAGCAAAGGACTGAAAAGAATCTGTAGTGTTTGTGATATTTCAGAAGATTTATTTTCCTTTCTTGTTTTACCGCTGTCCTTGATTTGTTTGAGAGCCAGAAGAAAGAAATACTTGAAAGAGTCTTAAGGACAATATCAGACCTACTGCCTCTGTACGCACTTGTGAAGCCAAAGGGACTAAGCAGATACCGTGCGCTTGAGAGAGAGGCTCTTATGAGCTGGCAGGTCTTAACAAGTTGAAGAATTACTTTTAACTCAAGCTCAATGTGATGGGCCAAGGACATTCAGCGACATGAGCAGAAGACGAAAGCGCTCCCTGATGCTCGCTCTCCAAACCTTTGGCATTGTCTGCAGTGCTGTAGGAAATCGGGAGCATAGTGCTGACATATATGGTGCTATGTAAGATCAAAAAGAAGCGCCAAACGTTCAAGAGGTCCCTGCTGTAAAGTACTTAAAGTCAAAAGGCGTGGATAGGTATGCTCCAAAACACAATCTCCATTCAGTGAGAGCTTAATATCCACTCACGCAATAAAAGGACAGTCTTCAGGAAGAGATGGACTGGAGCTGGATGTATCAAAGAGTGTTGATTGCGGCAGATATCGGTGGCGACAAGATTCACATCAAGGCATTTTAGCTTCAAAGAGAGCGTGTGACTGAGTCAAGAGCTAGAAAAATAGGGTCATCTAGAACTTTTTTTGTAAAACTGTTTTGTGTGTGTGTTTAGAGGAGAGGAAATTGGGAAAACTTGACAATGTGTTTACAGTAGTCATGGACTGATTTAACTATGGAACAACTAATACAACTTAATTCCTTCCTGCGCAGTGTGGGAAACTTGTTAGAGATGTCTATGAGTCAAGAATACAGCCCCAAAGCCCGATAACTGGGGAGTTGGTGTATAAATAAAATTGTCTAGGTCACTGTCACATATTGTTGTGCCTCTTTCTCTCTTTTTGCTTCCTCACTTTCTGTGC